CTATTTTTGTGCCAATACCAAGCTGTTTTCAGGACTATGGCTCTATAATAGAGCTTGAAGTCAGGGGTGGTGATGCCTCCAGAAGTTCCTTTATTGTACAGGGTTGTTTTGGCTATCCTGGGTTTTTTGTTTTTCCATATAAAACTGAGTACTGTTCTTTCCAGGTCTGTGAAGAATTGTGTTGGGATTTTGATGGGAATTGCATTGAATCTGTAGATTCCTTTTGGCAAGATTGCCATTTTTACTTTGTTGATTTTACCTATCCAAGGGCATGGGAGATCTTTCCATTTTTCTGGCATATTCTTTAATTTATTTCTTTCTCTAAAGACTAAAAGTTCTTACTATACAGGTCTTTATTGTTTTTGGTTACTGTTACTCCAAGATATTTTATGTTGTTAGTTGCTATTGTAAAGGGTGATGTTTCTCTGATATCTTTCTCAGTGCATTTATCAGCTGTATAAAGTAGGGATACTGATTTTTTTGAGTTAATCTTGTATCCTGCCACTTTGCTGAAGATGTTTATCAGCTGTAGTAGTTCCTTGGTAGAATTTTTCAGGTCACTTATGTAGACTATCATATCATCTGCAAATAGTGAAAGTTTGACTTCTTCCTTTCCAATTTGTATCCCCTTGATCTCCTTTTGCTGTCTTATTGCTCTAGCTAGAACTTCAAATACAATATTGAAGAGATATGGAAAGAGTGGACAGCCTTGTCTTGTTCCTGATTTTAGAGGAATTGCCTTGAGTTTCTCTCCATTTACTTTAATGTTGACTGTTGGTTTGCTGTATATTGCTTTTATCATGTTAAGGTACGTTCCTGTTATTCTTGGTCTCTCCAGGACCTTTATCATGAAGGGATGTTGGATTTTGTCAAAGGCTTTTTCAGCATCTAGTGAGATGATCATATGGTTTTTCTTCTTCATTTTGTTTTTATGGTGGATTACTGGTGGATTACATTGATGGATTTTCGGATGTTGAACCATCCATGTATTCCTGGGATGAAGACAACCTCATCATGGTGGATGATTTCTCTGATATGTTTTTGGATTCGATTTATCAGTATTTTCTTGAATATTTTAGCATCGATGTTCGTGAGGGATATTGGTGTGTAATTCTCTTTTTTCATTGTGTCCTTGTGTGGCTTGTGTACCTAGCTAATTATAGCCTCATAGAAAGAGCTTGACAATGTCCTTTTTGATGCTATTGTGTGGAACAAGTTGAGGAGTACTGGTATTAGCTCTTCTTTGAATTTCTGGTAGAATTCTGCACTGAAACCATCTGGCCTTGGGCTTTTTTGTTGGGAGACTTTTGATGACTGCTTCTATTTCATTAGGGGTGAAAGGTCTGTTTAAATTGCTTATCTGTTCTTGATTTAATTTTGGTAATATCTATCCAGAAAATTGTCCATTTCCTTTAGATTTTCAAATTTTGTGGAGTACAGGTTTTCAAAGTATGACCTGATGATTTTCTGGATTTCCTCAGTGTCCATTGTTATGCCCCCCTTTTCATTTCTGATTTTGTTAATTTGCATGCTCTCTCTCTGCCTTTTGGTTAGTTTGGATAAAGGTTTGTCTATCTTGTTGACTTTCTCGAAGAACCAACTCTTTGTTTCATTGAGTCTTTGTTGTGTATTCTTAGTTTCTACTTTATTGATTTCAGCCCTCAGTTTGAATATTTCCTGGCATCTATTCCTCTGGGGAGTGTTTGCTTTCTTTTGTTCTAGATCTTCCAGTTGCACTGTTAATTATCTAGTGTGACTTTTCTCCAGTTTCTTAGTGCTATGAACTTTCCTCTTAGCACTGCTTTCAAAGTGTCCCCTAGATTTGGATATGTTGTGTCTTCATTCTCATTCAATTCTAGGAAGTCTTTAATTTCTTTTTTATTTCTTCCTTGACCCAAGAATGGTGCAATGGCACATTATTCAATTTCCATGAGTTTGTAGGGTTTATTCAATTTGTGTTGTTGTTGAATTCTAACTTTAAAGCATGGTGGTCTGATAAGATACAGGGGGTTATTCCAAAATTTTTTGTATCTGTGTAGGTTTGCAACATTGCCGAGTATGTGGTCAATTTTAGAGAAGGTTCCATGTGGCGCTGAGAAGAAGGTATAATTTTTTGTGTTAAGATGGAATATTCTATAGATATCTGTTAAACACAATTGGGTCATAACTTCTGTTAGTTTTTTTTGTTGTTGTTGTTTCTTTGTTAAGTTTCTGTCTGGTGGTCCTATCTAGTGGTGAGAGCAGGGTGTTGAAGTCTCCTACTGTAAGTGTGTGAGGTTTTATGTGTGATTTAAGCTTCAGTAATGTTTCTTTTACAAATGTGGGTGCCTTAGTATTTGGGGCATAGATGATCAGGATTGAGACTTCATCTTGATGGACTTTTCCTGTGATGAGTATGAAATGCCCTTCTTCATCTCTTTTGATTGATTTTAGTTTGAAGTCTAATTTGTTAGATATTAGGATTGCTGCACCAGCTTGTTTCTTGGGTCCAGTTAATTGGAAAACCTTTTCCCAACCCTTTACTCTGAGGTATCATCTGTCTTTGAAGTTTAGATGTGTTTCTTGTATGCAGCAGAAGGATGGATTCTGTCTTCGTATCCATTCTGTTAGCCTGTATCTTTTTAAAGGCAAGTTAAGACCATTGACATTGAGGGATATTAATGACCATTGGTTGTCGATTCTTGTTTGTTTTGGATTTGTTGTTGTTATTGTGTGTGGGTTTCCCCTCCCCTTTTTTGGTGTTTGGTAAAGTGGGATTATCTATTGCCTACGGTTTTTTGCGTGTAGTTATCTTTGTTGCATCGGAGTTTTCCTTCCAGTAATTTCTGTAGGACTGGATTTGTGGATATGTATTGCTTAAATCTGGTTTTGTCATGGAATATCTTGTTTTATCCATCTATAGTGATTGAAAGCTTTGATGGATGCAGTAGTCTGCGCTGGCATCCATGTTCCCTTAGCATTTGTAGAACATCTATCCCTCTATTCTCTCTGCCTGTCATCACCCCCCACCCTTTCTCCTGCCTTACTATTGGCCATTCCGTCTTTATTAGACTGTCAGTTGTTTTAGGCAGGCAAAGTAACACAGCTTCCCAGAGTTAAACAAATACAACATAAAAGAATGCAACACATCTTTGAATCATTAAAACAAATGTAACACATCTTAAAATAATATTCTACAACTATGTACTATGCCACAGCAATGAGAAAAGTAACTTATACAGCCTCTAAATTCAAAAAGTCTTCCACAGTTTTCTCTTGTACTTTATTCTCAAATTTAAGGCCTTCCAAGAATAGTGTTTGCACATGCTTATCCACTGTTAACCATATACTATGATGTGCTACATAGCTTGGGAGAGGCTATTACATTACAAGGTTTACAGAAAAGGGTTAGCCAGAGCCTAGAGGGAGCAACCAGGAGGTATTATGACTAAAGGCGATGTATGTCTGCATTGCAAGTTTAGTAACACTACAATGCCTACAGCAGTTAACAATACTGTGTTGCATACCTTCAATTTTGCTACAAGAATTGGTGTCCTAGCTAAGTAGAGTTGTCAGTTTGATACAGCCCTAAGTCAACTGAGGGGAGAGGCACAATTTAGGAATTGACTAGATCACATTGTGTCTTTGTGATATTATTTTGGCTGTTAATTGTTGTTAAGAGGGCCTAGGCTACTGTGGGCAGCACTGTTCCTTGGGAAGATGTGAAATAGATATATATATATATATATATATATATATATATATATATATATAATCAGAAAAGTCTCCCATAAGTCTGGTATTTAAAAACTTGGTTGGTTACATTGTTTGGGGGAATGTTATAGAATATTTTGGAGTTTTGGCCTTGATAGAAGGAGTAGGTGACCTGGCTGCAGGCTTTGAGAGTTCTTAGTCTTGCTCTGCTGCCAGGTAGCTCTACTTTGTATTTGTAGTTGAAGATGTGGTCTCTCCTGCTGCCTGTTGCCATGCCTTTGGGTCACATAGGAATCCCTCCCCACCCCCACTCCATCAATAAGTCAAATCCATCTTTTTCCATGTGCTTGCTGTCCTTGGTCCTAGCATTTGCTCACAGTAACAGAAATGTAAACTGACACAGTCAGTCAGTATTCCACTATGGTTTCTGTTGCTATGTGGATGGCCTGGGAAGCTTTCCCCAAGGTCAAACTTAAATTCAAGGCAACATGCTACTCAGTTGATCTACCCCTTGGTTCCCATCCCTCTTCTAGAAGTGCTGCAGAGCAATCTGATAACCAGAAGAAAAGTGCCTTTAGGTGCGCTATTTGGGGAAGTGTGTTCACAGGTAGCTGTGAGTCCTTATGAGCTCTCTCTCCTCTCTCTCTCTCTCTCTCTCTCTCTCTCTCTCTCTCTCTCTCTCTCTCTCTCTCTCCTCACCCACGCACCCCCCCACTGGCCTTTAACACATCAAACTCTAAAATAAAATTATTCTCTTTTTCAGATTGTCTGTATGAATTCCGTCAGCCCTTCCCCGCGCTCTTCTCTTCCAAGTTATTTTCTTTTCTGTTCAAGGCCATTGGATGGATGCAGCAGCAGGTCTGCCTCAATATGCCTGCATTCCAACTCCCAATTCTCTTTGACGGACTGTGATCTGGCGCCCTCTACTGACTTCTGGTGGCACCAGAGACGCCAAGGATGAGCACACAAAATATTCATTTATTCATGTGCAAAATAAGATAAATACATCTAAAACGAAAAATAAAACCAAACTATAGAGCTATTTTTTCACGCTTTTGCTCAATTACTCAAAAAAAAAAAGAAAGAAAGAAAGAAAAGAAAAGAAGCAAGGGCGAGAACGCTCGTCCGTGAAGGGGGAGGGGATAAGGCGGTCGAGGGAGGGCGTGTCCTAGCTCGCTATAGAGTCTGCGTGTGTCTATGCTGCTGCATCGCTGGCACCAGTGCTGACAGGTGTTGCTGCCTTACCCTCCACAGTAGAGGAGCTCAGACCCCAAGAAGCTGGTGTCTAGCTGCGGCCCAGAGCAACGATGGGCAGTCTGGTGAGTGGAGGAGTCTGGGATGATGAGGGCGGAATGGATAATCTGGAGCCCCTGGCTCTTGGGAGCCTGCCGAGGCAGCGAGGGAGGCACAAGAATCTGTTTCTTGGAGAAAGGATGCCCGGGACTTGGGACTTCCTAATTGCTGGACATTGACCGGGAGAAACCCCAGGGTCGCTGGTCCCACGGGGTGGGCGGCTTTGCTACGGGCTGCAGATCCCACTGGGAGGAAAACATGGCTAGTGCTCCATGGCTTCCCCAAAAGGGAGGGGTAGCTCTGCATCAAGATAGAATCTACTGATACTGCTTCTTGCTGTATTCCTTTCACGGGAAGCCATGAAGCATTCAATAGACCCGCAAGCAATCCTTTGAAAGGATTGTCAGCTCGGTGGTCGTGCGAAAAGCCGGGATATTTAGAGGGGGCAGACATTTTGAGTCTTCAGTACTGTTTACGAGACAGAAATTTTAAAAAGGATGGGTGGTCATACGCCCTATTCTTTATATGCAGGGAACTGGTAGAATTAGGTGATAATCTAAATGCAATTAAAACACTGAGGTATTGCTTTTCATATGGCTGGCAAGAACACAGGTCAGTTTTTGCGTTACCTTTCTTAACAAAGGAGAATGGTGGTGTGTGAGCTAGTGTCCCCTGCCCAGCAGATGCTCTTAATCGTTAAACAAGGAATTGCTTTCCTGTTTTACAAATAAATGGGCAGGGAGGTTCATTTTTTTCCAAGTTCCTGTGGCTGCAATGAAGATACAAATTCAGATCTAGGAAGAATAGGAAAATGAGATCTATACATCTAGCAGGTGCGTAGTTGTCAGGTAAGACCAGGCTATAATGAACATCCACCTTCTGGATAAGGATTATAGGGGGATTTCTTTGTCTTTGTGATTCAACTGTGTAGTCAATTCTTGACTGGCTAATCTTTTAGCATCTTTTAAATTCTGGGCACTGTACTCGTGTTTTTACCGTGGAATTGTTACCATACCCCTGTAATATGACAGCAGCATTGATTTGCTATTCTTGCAGCAGACAGGCTCTTAGGATCCTTATCATTCAAAATACTATAGATTTTTTTAAAATATTTGCATATGCACAATGAGATCTCTTGGGAGTGGGATGAAAACCAAACAGGGAATTCATTCATAGTTCATGGTGATCATATATACAGACCCCCAGATAATGTCATGATTAGATAGTTCCTTTTGGTGACTATGACCATCACATGATGTCAGATGTGAAATTTCCTATGGTAATATCATGTCAGTACTCAGAAGCTTCCGATATTGAAGCATTATGATTTTTCAATTCTCACCTATGCTTCCTTTAACCCCAGGATTAATGCTATTATTGTGCCCCAGGCTCCAGAGAGGTTAAATAATGTGTCTTACCTAATGCATCTAGGATTGACTTTAGGCTTGGTTACCACCAGCAATCCCATCACCTCCCGAGGAACGGAAAAGCTGCCATTATCCTGCATAAACCAGGGGCTAATATAAATAAATACTATGTAAATTTTTAACAGTGAAGCCTCACTCTTGACTCCTTGCTCCCTAATCTGGTTTTGTTTTTCACCCTCCCCAGGACCCACTCCTCAGTCTCATCTGCATTTTCTCTCCCCCATAAAACACAGTTATTTTTCACTATAAAAGCATGGTAAATATTTTCTTATTAAAGCCTTTGCTAAGGCCTGGATTTCATTGTGAGGGAAAGTCGTAATAGGTGAAAATAATGCTGTGGAATGGATACACCATAATCTGCCCCTGTGATTTCTTTAAGATAAAGCAAATGTATTGAAGATAAATGCTTGAAGATAAAGGAAAAATGTACTGACCCCTTGGTGTCAGAGCCAGAGGATACATTTGTTGGATTTTCTAGCTTTCTTACACAATAAGAAAAGATGGAGAACAGTCTCAGTAATATAAAGAAAACGTTCCAGAAGTCCCTTCAGAAGCACTTCAGAGCTAAAGCCCTCTTGAAGGTGGTGTCTGTGTGTATGAAAAGGGGGAGGTGGAGCAGATATTGTGGAGGCTGCATCCTTTTTAGAAGCTCGTTACTTTTAACTTCCTAAAGGGTAGTGACTTTGTTGTGAGCCTTAGACCAATGAAGTCATGAGAAGTCACAAGGTAGGCACGGTACACTTGAGTATCCCCAAACAAATTGTTCTCGCACACAGTAATGATCACTCAGATGATGGGACTTTTAACTTCCTTTAGCCCTAAAAATGTTAGGAAACCCAACTATGTCATATAGAGGGATATCAGTACACACAACTTTATGGCTGCTTGTGGGATCCAGGCAGAAGGGCTAAGTAACTGGGTCTCCCCCAAGTGTAGACAGTAAAGCACTCAGGTATGGGGTGACATTGGAGGTGGCCACAGGGGTGAGACCTCACCTCTTTCAGAGCATACATCCTGAAAGATCACCAGGAATACCAGGACAAGGTCTGTGATGGAAGTTCAAGGACTGTGATAGTAGTTCAGTGGGTTCTGGCAGAGCCAGATCTTCTCTGTGACTGTACTATGACAGTTTTCTTTCTCTCCCCCTCCTCCTATCCCCACCTACACACACACACACACACACACACACACACACACACACACGCCTATAGGGTACAGTTGACCTCAGAAAAGCTAGACATACTTTATTCATCTAGGATCTCAAACTACAGAGCCTATCCAGGACTACTAGGCTTCTTTTGCAACCTAAACCCCAGGGAACACAGTGTTGCACTTTACCCGTTTATTTTCTGCCTCTTCTTATAATGGATGGCACTTTGTTAGGAAAACTCAAGTTTACATAATGAGATTATGTTTGTGACACACCAGATGCCTTGACATGGTGTGTCACTTGTCCCAGTAACACTTCCTCCTAATGTAAGTTTTAGGTCATGGCTATTTTGTAAGAGAGCATACATGAACCAAAATAACAATTGCATACAGTGTAAAGTAAGAGGACATTAAAATTGGGGTGTTCCAGCAGATCAGAGAAAGGAATAGAAATCCTTGTAGCAGATTGAAGTTATTTCCAGATCTTCAAACACTTGTTTCCTAGGGCTGGGTGTGACAGCACATACCAGTAATTCCAGCACTCAGAAGACAGAGACAGGAGGATTAGAAGTTCAAGGTTATCCTTGGCTACATAGCAAATTCAACACCAGCCTAGGCTACATGGTATTCTATCTCAACCCACGTCGCCATGACCATTTCTTCAAAGACTCTACTCTCTTCCTCTTTTGTGGGCCCTGAAGCCCACAAAAAAACAGATATCATAAGACAAAGAGACATTTTAGGGCAATGAGAGTGACCTACTTTAGAAAGTTTGTGGAAAATAAACTCTAGAAGTCAGTGTATCTAAAAGGGGTGGCAAAAGAAAGCACAACTTGAGAATGAAGAGAAGACAGTCCCTCAGATGATAATCCATCCTTTGACAGCCACCCTGAAGCAAAAGCCCAAACCAAGGCCATTTAAGTGGTAATAGTCCAATGCTTTAGAGATGAACTTCAGCTTATTGCGGTAACAGAGGCTGTGGCTAAGCAAGGGCTAATAATATGCATATTCAGAATGGGATGTCCACTCTTGGTTTGTTGCAAAAATAGGTTGGAGCAAGGATAATGTGGTCAAATACCCTGTTTAAACAACTGGGTTTGCTGAGTTTTGACATTCTTGTGGGTCAATGGGGGAAAAACAGTCAAATGACACACTGACTCCATGTACACAGTCTATGGCCCAACTCCATGAACATAATGCTCTCTGGGAGTGGTATTTTCAAAATCGGCAAATGACACTGTAGCATTATATTTTTTCCATTCACAAAGAAGAAGGAAGAGTCTTGGGAAGGATGGAGGGAATGCTAGGCAGGTAATGAAAATACTGTTTCAAAAGTTTAGGGATATATATATATATA